AAGGACAGACTGATGTCAAGTTTTCAAAAAGCAAACACGAATAGCCAAGTGAAGTGCCGGCATTAGGAAGAAAGAGTGTTTTGTTTGCAGCGCTGTCATAGATTATACACATAAAATGGTAGTCTCAGATTATTTTTGGAGTTTACTCCTTAAGAATCGATTTGCATATATAAGGGGCCCGGTATGAGAAAAATGTGAGGAGTAAAATCTATCGATGAATTACCTCGTTACGTTTTTGGTGCGCATCCAATTTGGCGCTACTTGGCAAACAAAGACGACGGATTGACATTAATAAAAATTTTAAAATCTGAACTGAATTTAGATATTGTTTCTGATAGAGCAATGGGGACAACGAGGTATGGTACAACCATTGATGCGGTATTTTCAAGATTCGTGAACCACGTAACTACGAACGTCCATGTGTCTTATTTTAGTTACCATAAACCACTTGTCACTGTAATTAATAATGCAGACAATGTTGATTTAATTAATATTTAAAAAAATGATAATAGTCTGATAATAATAATTACATAATTTATCAACATTCCTAATGATATATTTATGCACATCTGAAATTGACTATTGTAAGAAGTTTAATGTAAAATATTTCGTCGATTAGTTATAATAAATGTATATGAAATGAATAAATATATATATACGTATATTATTTTCATTAATTTGTTAATTTACCCTTTCATACAGTATCAATCTTTTTTAAGTTAAATAAACTCTTTTTGCGTCTGGTTAGACTATCGAACTTAAGGAGTAAACTCCAGTCGTGCGTCGGAGCTGACACACACAATTTTTTTAACTTTTTAGTATAGCTTTCTTAACTGGAAGTGTCCGTCACAATCTATATACTGATAATTATCGCAAAAAATATACTAAGAATTATCATAAATGCCAAATTGGTGTTGGTTCTTAGGCTAAATTTAACATTGTCCTTTGACAACAGTTTATCCTTTTCATTCTCTATACAGAATGAGAAGGAGAGACTGATGTTAACATCACGGCAAAAATCGGCAAAAATATCACGTTTGTTTTATGTGAGCATTGTGAGCCCAACTTAAATATTTATTTAATTATGTTTTTAGTATTTGTTGTTATAGCGGCAACAGAAATACATCATTATATTTTCTAATTTGTCTGCCTATTTAACTACACCATAACAAACAAAATACCTAAATAAAATTATGTAGGTACCGTCCTTGTTATCCTGTCACAAAACACGTCCGGGTTTTACACGTACACTTATTGAAAACCCCTTCCTGATGCTCCCGAACGCTCTCTAACTAGGACAAATTCCGGGAAATCCTGCCCTATAAATATGTGTTTAATGTAGTAGAGTATAAGTGTCGCCGCACACGGGCCACCAACCACAACCACAAAACGCCGCCACCGGCATATTTCTTGTAGTTTTCATACTTTTTTTTTTTATAGATAGGTCCGACAAATGACTCCACCCCACCTGATGTTAAGTGAAGGTGAAGTCCAGACGTGAAGATAGCTATTACAGCAGTTCTACCTGCCACACCAGTCATCCTCACCCTGCCGACCTGCATGTAGCTTCTTCACACCGCTTTTAAAGGATCCCAGGTTGTAAGAGGGAGGGAACACGTGAGCGGGCAGAGCATTCCATTTATGGATAGTGCGACAAAGAAATGAGTCACCAAATTTCTTTGTACGCGTTAGAATTGTGGCCACGGTTAGACGGTGACAACGTAGGCCAGCGCGCGTGGTTCTCTGAAGGAAAGGAGAAGGTGGGATAAGAGAGAATAACTCCTCAGAACACTCGCCGTGGTACAGACGATAGAACGCGCTTAGTGACGTCACGTCACGGCGTAATTGAAGAGGCTCAAGGTGTTTTGTCACCTCCTCATCGCCTATGATGCGGATCGCGCGCCGCTGTAACCTATCCAAAGCATCGAGCAAGTATTTGGCAGAGCCATCCCAGAGGTGCGAGCAATATTCCACGCAGGACCGCACTTGCGTTTTGTACAACAAGCACAGTTGATCGGGCGTGAAAAAACGCCGCACCTTGTTCAGGACTCCGAGTTTGCGTGAAGCTGTTTTTATCACGGTTTCGATGTAGGGGTACAGGCCTTCCCTATGGAATATGGAGACTGGGCCGTGACCCACCACGCGGACCTTGGTGGGTGCTAACGACTACAGATGCAGCCGGGACCAGCGGCTTAACGTACCTTTCGAAGTACAGAGGAGCTTGAGATAATATATTTTGGTCACCCATCCAATGACCGACCATTGCGTAAGTTGCTAAATTTCACGATCGCAGGCTGAATGCGCCAACCACTTGCGCCATGGCGATTTTGGATTTAGTGGAAAAAAGGATTTAGTGTTTGTGATATTTACAAGGAGCTCATGAAGCTCTTTTTATCTTTTATCGGATATTCGTCATTAATATTAAAAGATAATTATAATATTTAACCTTCTAACGACAACATAAGTGCTAATGCATACTGTAAATGCGAATATTACTTGATGGAAATCACATTTCAAAACGATATGCGATATTTATTACCCACTTCCTATCTTCCGATATTCATTATGAAGGTTACCTACACTTGTGATTGTGACTTATCTAAGTAGGTTCGTTTATACTTGAACATAAATAAAAAAGTTATATGTTATTGCATCGATGGATTAGCTATGCAAATTAAAGTAAAATTTTCAAGTTAACCATTACAGTAGAAAAGTAAAAATTAAAGTATCTTATAAGTATAAAACGCATTGTTTCCAACTTAGGGGTGTTGCCCCCAGATTTAGGGGCTAGACACGGATTTTTTAGGGGCTGGAATTTTTTGGGGGTTCTTTTAGGACCTTTTAACAAAACTTGCAATTAAATCGAAAAACAAAGCGTGTGTTTTCTTTCAGTTTTGTGCGTAGAATGGAACGCACCACGATATGAAACGACTGAACTGACTGTGTGGCGGCCTGTTACCTAATGCTGTATGGATTAAAGTTCTTTGCCTATCAATAATGGTTAAACAATAAAACAACAACATAGCAATCATGTTCGTTCTTTCATTCGTTCACGTCATACTCACGGCTCCCCATTCATTTTTGTCATTCATTCAATAAAATAATTTACTGTAACTAAATAAGAAATTTATGAGCAGCGAAAGAATTTAGGTAATAAGTAGGTACATATAAAATTCTATATTTAGGGGATTTTAGGGGAATTTGAAAAATACTTAGGGGAAATTTTTGATAAGGGTTGGTAACACTGATAAAACGTCGTCATGAAATACTGTATTTCCTTGAAGTCACATAACTCCATTATGTTTTATTGTCTTTTATTTCTATAAGTGCAGAATTATATATTTGAAATTAGTTATTTTGACAAAAAATAAAATGGTTTTGTAATTTATTTTATCGATTCATGTCATAGCATACCTTATAATATAAATGTAAAAAATATGATTGCAATGATAACAATTTGAAACATTGCACAACAACTTTTAGCGACCTTGTCATAATTACAGGCTTAAGAAATAAAAAAAAACAGGAAATCGTTAAAAAAACCTTTAACACTTACGTGTTAAGTAAAAATTTTTATTTCTGTTAAAAAGACACGGACAAAAATGCTGAACTGGGATTGAAAGTAAAATACATAATGAACCAGTTGCTATTTTTTCCATGAAGACAGTTAAAACAAGAAAGGTTATCAACGGATAGGGCGCTTTCGGAAACTGTGATGAAGTAGAAATGAGGCTTACATAATATTACATGTATCACTTCACCCAAGGCACAATGCAGCAATTAAACCGGTCGTTACATTTTCTCTTTAATACAAATACACATGCGCAGTAGTCGTTTTTGTATGTTAAATTGCTAATGCGAAGACTTCCTGGTTTATGGTTGATGCTCAAGAAGTTTGCCGGGGTTTGTAGCGGTGTTTCTCCCCCAGTCCTATGACAGGTCGCCAACCCGCCCGCCAAGCATGGTGATCACTGCAATGCATGATAAACGCAACAGTACCCCAAGAACGAAGAACTAAGGAGAAGGTATTCTTATCGCCATCGTCAAAATTTCTATGAAAACTAAGCGCCGCTGCTAGCTCCTGCCATAGAAACTTGCTTGGGGTACAGAGGCCTAAGCATGAATTTTGACAGATCCGTATCTAATCGTATAGCATCGACAAAGTATATATGAAAAATTAGCAGCGCCCCTGCCGGACGGAAGAGCAAACTGGCTCCTTCCATACAAAATTAGACGTTGACGATACGATTATGGAGCTGTCAAAATTCGTGTTTGGGCCTCAGATCTTGGGTGCTTTCGGAAACTGTGAGGATGTGTGTTTGGGGGAAACATACACGGCTATGAGCGTTGTATGATCGAAGATGGTGATAGATGTGGGTATAATGCAAAAAATTGAATTATTGATTCATAACACGACTCATCAAAACTTTACGGTGTGTGTTAGGCGTATAGCCAGTGACCTTCTATATATGTATAGCAGATAGTTTCTATAGTTTTCGTAGGGATCTAATGTTAGTCCGCGTGAGTAGATTAGTGCTGCCCGACTATTACTTATCTAGTGGCTTTCCATTTGTGCTAATCCACTCAATCATTTAGAGCTGCTTTAAAGCCACTTACGCGTTAAACGGTACTTGAAAATGTTATTGTTACGTCGGTGTAACACAATATATTAAAAAAAACATTTTTTATAAAAATAACAATAGTTTTATGAACTACGAGACACATATACAAAAGCAACAAGAAACCCATGTATTTCTTCCTTAGATTATTGTACCTATATAATAAAAATTTAAATAATGTATCTAAGTATATTTAACCAATATTTTTATCTACATTATACGCGAATACGTAAATTACCAAGTGACAGGGATTTCCCCCTCGTTTTATATCAGGTTATGAAATATAATTATATGCCTATTTTATTTCGGCACTTTAGGGGTTAATATTTAAATTTATTAGGTGCTTGCCATCAAGAAATTTTAATGAGTTTCTATTTTCAGGTCATGGAGACGAAAAACATGATCTACATAGTTTCTGAATACGCCAGCAAAGGAGAAATTTTTGGTGAGTAATTCTAAAATACATATCTCTATTAGTAATTTATTGCTTAAAATCTCAATGAATATGTTTTTAAATGTATATAAATAAATATATTTTAGTTTATTCAAATGAATACTTCAAAGTTCTTGTTTGATAAAATGATTACTGGGCTCACTACAAAATAAAGCATAATATATAATAAACCCAGTAAAGCACCGAAAGACAATTCTTTTTTGTGAAAGAAGCCGAATATGGAGTAAAATAATTCTTTTATATAAATAGACTTGAAGAAAACCAATTTAGTTCGGATTTTCCTATTTACCTACTTGGCACAAAATTTTGCGATTTCTCCCGATAAAACTTTCTTGAACGATGACTTTATGAAAGTTTACGGTGGCTTTATGTATAGTTAGTTGTGTGAAATAATTCAATTTCGTGAGGTTGGTTGGTAGATGGTTGGTAGGCGGATACGTACATACGAAAGTACGTATATTGGTGGGTTCAAAACTTTTTCCGAGCTCGTTTTAATTACTAGCATAAAAGGGGACTATCAATCATCTGCCGGTTTCAAAGCGACGTTAAATCCATTGTTCGGTGAAGATACACCGAAACGAAACCGTTTATAACTAGGTTTCCCTCCAAATATTCTACAAGCAATTGATAAAGTAAAATCCGCCTACTATTAATATTATTTGTAATAGTATTTTGTTTTATTATAGTATTCTTAAGTAAGTATAGTGGTATTTATCGTAAATATAAATTATGTATGTATATATTATATATATATATATGTAGTTATGTAGGTATATAGATGTAACATTATTATTATTATATTAAGTATCATTTATTTTATCAATTTAATATTTTTTTTCTTTCGCCTTTTGCTTTTATTTACTACACCGCATAATGTCTCTGCTTAGCCCGATGGTTGACTGGTAGAGAATGCCATGTGGCATTAAATCCGCCATTTATTGTAAAATGACAACAAAGAGTAAATAAATAAATAAAAATCAATATTGTTATGAGTCTTGGCGCTTTGTACTAGTGCAACAGGCAGCGTCTTTTAGTGAGCCAAGACAAACTTGTTCAATTATAGTAATAATATAAATAAATTATAGTATATAAATGGTGTCAATAGGACGTGTCTCGTGAACCAATACAAATAGACAAATAGTGGACATTAAGAATAAAAATGAAACAGGTCTCCCATACAATAAACGTGATATTTTGAACGTTTTTGTGCGACTAATGTAAAATATTGTACAATTAATATAGCTTACTTGAACGAGTGAAGATTGTGCACCATAGCACTTCAGTGGGTAGATTTTCAAACGAATAATCTTTTGTGTCCAAATAAATCTGTTCAAAATTACATAAAAGTACATACATAATGAAGCCATCTATGGCTGTAAGCACCTACATAATATAACGAACGACATTGCCACCATAAATCTCCTAATACCGGCGAACAAGCGCATTATTGTAACCTCCAAATCGATTAAGGCCGCTTCGTGAGTTCGTGGCTGCTCGTCTATGACGTCAGTACGCTCTAGTGACGTCATGGGCAGGGTGCTGGGCCCAAGGGGGTCGGCTCCGGAGGTGGGGGTGGGAGAACCAATTCCGAACACAGCTGACTACATCCGTCCCCAAAAGCTAAGCGCAGATTTTTCTCTATACTTATCTATACGTTTAGCATGTAAGACTCCGTGCGTGAATTAAGTAGCTTTTTTTAGTTATTGCTTGTAAAAAAATCGAAATTTTCTGTGAGTTGTATTCAATATACCGGACCTAACCGTCTCTGTATTTAGCGGTCTTTAAAAATAATGATTTCGGTGGAATTAAAAAAAAACGGTAGGTAGGTAAAGTTTTTTTAACGTATTTTCCGCAAAAATGAAGGTGTTAATCTCTTATAAGCTTATAATTGCTATTGGGATGTATTAGTTATAAAAATACGTACTAGATATTTAACTTAATGTAGGGAAACTGAAGCAACAAGTCATAATAAATATTGCCCGCTCGTTAGTCAAAAGTTTAATTTAAGTGACACGATTGTCGCAACTCGTTAATCACAGCTGCCGAGTAGAAGTCCTTAGTTTAAGGCCATTGATGTCACAGCATAATTACACTGCAATCAAAACGTAAGTTGCTAATAACGAAGATTGATTTTCCGGGAAATTCGTTAAGAGTGCAATTGCAAACTGACAAAGTCGTACGCAATAGTCACCATAAAAAAATAATTTCGATTTTTTTCTATACCTTTATATTTCTATCGTCTATTTATCGTAGGCAAGCAATAATAATAAATTAATCTTCATCCCGAAATATTTTTACATATAAGTGACTTTTTTTTTTTTTTGTGACGAGGGGAAATGCAGTTACGCACCATACCGTGACGCTGACTAGGCGCACAGCGTGTGTGGGACTCGCCGGCACGGGAAACAGTGCCGACCCTACTCAAGCAGGACCAGTGCGGAAGGCCACACTGACCCTACTCCACTAAAACCCCCCGGTACCCTCCTACGCCCATATGGGGGCGTCTCAGGATCGACGCACCTTAGCGTGCGCCACTTCACTGGGACGTCCCCGGGCAGGCCCGGCCCAACGAGTGGACCGGGCAACGCGCCTCAGGGGGACTGCGCTAGGGTACTAGGCAGTCCCCAGACGTGGTGGCCTATGCCGGAGCGGCACCTAGGACGCGTGGCTGGTTAGGCCGCGCCCAGACCACCTTAGGGCCGTCGAAGACCGGCAGTCACCGCTGCCTGCCTCCTTCGGCCCACCCGTCTACGCCGGAGAGGGGGGGCTAGACCGTCCTCCTCCCGCTCCCTCTCCGCTGCCTCCTTCTGCGCCATCACAGATTCGCAGAAAGAGGCGGCCGCCCTCCAGGCTCTCTCGCTACCAAGCATGGCTCTTACCATACTTGGCAGCGTGAGGCCTCCTCCGCCGAGCGTCGAGATCAGATCGCGGCGCTCATTTCGCCAGGCCGGGCACACGATCAACGTGTGCTCGGCGGTGTCGTCGGGAGAGGCGCAGTGATGACACCGCGGCATCTCCTCCCGACGGGCGACTCGGTGCAGGTAGTGACCGAAGCATCCATGTCCGGTCAGTACCTGCACCAGGCGGTAGGTGAGGGTGCCCCGCTGGCGCCCTACCCACTCCTCCAACACCATCACACCTCCATCAGGGCATCAACCTCCCACGGGAGCGTGCCTGCTAGAACGCAGGCAGCCCCGTGGCTGACCGTGCGGTAAGCCCGCACGGCCCGGGCCGCGATGACCCTCTGCGGTCTTCGCAGGAGGGCCCTCGTGCGGGACGAGAGGCACTCCGCCCAGACCGGGGCCCCGTACAGCGCCATCGACTTTATCACGGAGTTTATATATTTATCCTCGGCCCTCCCACATTGGGGAGGAGCCGTCCGAGTCCGGCTGCTGCGGCGCACAGCCGGGGAGCGAGGAGCCTGAAATGCTCCTCGAAGCTCCACCGGGGATCCAGGGTCAGGCCAAGATACTTCATGTGCATCTCGACATGAACCTGGATCCCCTCAACCCGGACACGGAGCCCCGGTGGGGTTTACATATAAGTGACTTGTATAAAAATAACCCCAAAGAAAAATACATGGACTGAACTAAGAATATCCTGTGTTTAAGGTCTTAACTACTTTAAATAATTAATAGCACAATAAAATAATAACAAAAATACTAAATCTATATGACATGCAACATTTCGCGTCATTGCAGAGTTAAAATTTATTTTGAAAATAATGTCTTAATCATCATATTAATCATTAATGAAAATCCATTTATTTATTTTGTAGACGAGGTGTTACTGAATCGGTTACACAATACTTCCAACATAGATAAATGATTGGTCTCGCTTCACTCAACTAGATACAGGTAGGGGATAGGGTTAGGATAATGCACAAGTATTATTCTGGTAATAGTGACGATTCCGCTATGATTCTCTAAACTTAAAATCAAATTTAACATCAGTCTTTCCTTTTCGTTCTGTATAGAGAACGACAAGGATACACTGTTGTCAAATTTAATTTTCGGTTTAAAGAATCATGCCAGAATCGACACCATTGCAAGCTTCTTATAGGCTATGGTGCCAGCTTATTACAATAAGGTGGGTCATATAGTTGATTGTCACTTGATCACATTTTTACATAAATGAAGCTCATGTGATATTGATAGGGACAGGGTGGCATAAAGCGCGATGGATACTTCAAATTGCGTAAGCATGAAGGCCAAATATTTGTTTACCATCCTTTTCATATAAAAGAAACAGTAATAAAAAGGTTTATTTGCCAAAATAAGTGTGAAGGTAGGAACAAATGGTAATATGTTTTTAAGGCCGGCGCAATTTAAAATTAAACAGACCGCGCCCACCTGCTGCCGAGCAGGTGATAATATTTTATGACGCTTTATAAAATTATGAGATTCACCTTTTGCGTTATAAATAGCGTATTATTATTAAATTGCTTCGACACACGTTATTAAGTCCCGTGCTGTGTTTTCGGCCATCAAAAGTGTGACATCATTTTAGTATCTATATCTATAAAGAGAGAAAAGGATACACTGGCAGACTGGCTCGACCTAGAATGATGAAATTTGGACAGTAGGTTCCTATTATTGCCTGACAAGTAATAAGAAGGGATTTTTTTAAATTCAGCCTCTTAGTGAAATTTGCATAAAACGTTTGTTCGTAAAATCTTATCCCTTAGACCTATTGACTGCAAATTTTGCATAAACATTATTTGATAGATGTACACTAAGGCCCGTATTACAAAATGACAACTAAGTGTTGATCTTTACTTGAGTACAGTTAGAAAGGGATGTCGCTATGTGCTAGAGGTATATAGCGACATCCCCTTCTAACTATGCTCAAGACTAGATCAATCACTGAGAATCTTTCTATAATACGGGTCTTAGCCTGTTACATAAAATTTTTACAACTACCCTCAAAAAATTACAAAATTTCGTGTCAAAATTTGTAGGATATTATCCAAAAGTGGATAGGATTGATTA